TTGAAAAGTTGAAAGACAGACCAAACTTATTCAAGCACGCTGGAAAATGATGAAGATGACAATCGGGGTGGTCAATCGCCAATTCTTCTTTACCAATCATGATGCATGGAATTTTAAAATTGGTTCTTTATATTAGAAAAACAATACAAAATAATTGAAGAATCAAGTTTAGAATCAGTTTGTGCCTACCTGAAACAGAAAAAAATCAGACAGAAAAGCAAATTAGAGGGGAAGGAATCACTCTGGAGAAAGAAAATGAATCCCTAATTTTTATTTTTATTTTGGTTTTATTATTAGAATAATTGGGGTTTATTTGGGTAAAACATGGAGCATGAATGAGGGTTTAGTTTACCAACTATAGGCGCCATTGGATTAATCTAATAACCTTTATTAAATAGGTGTTCACAAGACCTCATTTTTAAGTCCTTAGATGAGCGGACAGTAATAACATAATGTGGATACTGCATGCCATGTGGTAGACAATGTGCATGCCACTACTCAGAATAAGTATCCAGTAAATGCATGGTATCATGGACAATACACACGGCAAGTCATTTGCAAGTCCGGCAACAAATGTATTTTTTTCAGTCAACAACTGCTCATGACTTACTACTTTTTTATTCATTTATTTATTTATAGTTTAGTTTCATCATGGCTATTAAAAAAAGACGTATAATTTGGCTTTCACATTTATGAATAGGTCGTACATGATTAGAAGCTTCTTCTTAATTAGTTTCACACACACTCAGAACTTCTATATAGAGAGAGAGAGAGACAGAGAGGGTCGTCCCCAAGGTCACGCACACTTCTTCCTCTTAACTAGACTGTCAACCATGATCTCCCAGAAGAAGCTGCTCCGTGAAGTGTCCGGCTGGCTTAAAGTCTTCGAAGATGGTTCGACTGACCGCACATGGACTGGACCCTCTGAGGTACAGTTCATGGTCGAGACGGTCCAACCCCATGAAGAATTCATCAATGGAGTTGCTACACGTGATGTGGTGGTCGACAAAGACTCAGGCCTTCAGGTACGAATCTATCTACCGGAGATAAAACCCAGGGACGAGATAAAGCTGCCCATAATCCTCCATTTCCATGGAGGTGGCTTTTGCATAAGCCGAGCTGATTGGTACATGTACTACCACATGTACACCAATCTTGCACGGTCAGCCAAGGCCATTTTTGTCTCTGTCTATCTAAGGCTCGCACCCGAGCACCGTCTGCCCGCTGCTATAGACGACGGCTGGTCTGCTCTCCTCTGGCTTCAATCCCTTGCTCAAGGTGACTCGTACGAGCCATGGCTCGTGGACCACGCGGACTTCAACCGCGTGATCCTTCTAGGAGATAGCACAGGAGGAAACATTGTGCATGAGCTGGCCGCTCGAGCGGGGAAGGTGGATTTGAACCACATGAGGCTAACAGGTGGGATTCTTATCCACCCCGGTTTCGTTCGATCCACGAGGAGCAGGTCGGAGTTGGAGCAGCCAGAGTCTCCTATGCTTACACTTGACATGGTGGACAAGTTTTTGAGCTTGGCACTTCCAGTGGGGTCCAGCAAGGACCATCCTATAACTTGTCCGATGGGTTCTGGAGCACCGGATTTAGTTACCCTGAAGCTTCCACCATTTCTTCTATGCGTTGCTGAAATGGACATGATTGTAGATACTGAGATTGAATACTACGAAGCCATGAAGAAGGCTGAGAAGGATGTGGAGCTCTTGATTAGCCCTGGTGTGGCTCATAGCTTTTATCTTAACAAGATCGCCATTGAAATGGATCCGCAGACGGCTTCCCAAACTGAGATTCTGATTTCAAGGATCACAGAGTTCATCAATAAGCACTAAAATGTTATAGTCGATCTCCATTAGTATGCTTTTTTCTTTCTCGTTTTTGGTTGGATAATTGTATGTCTTATCTTTCTAATGGAGACATAAAGATCCACCAATACAAAGTGATTTCTATGTCCGCTAGAGATAGGGGTCCACAATTTATTATGAATTATGAACACAAACAAAGATGATTCGATCATGATTATTTCTGAATTTGTGTGTGTGATTGATTAAAATACAGCAATTTAGACATCTTTTTCCTAAAGCACAACAATAAAAAGCAAAACACAATTAGCGCAACGAAAGAACACAGTGAAGAGGTCCATCAGAAAGCCATAAAGCCAAGTTCACACCAGAGAGCCATCACAGATGCCATCGTCAAAAGGACACGGACCGCACTACCGTTGCCAAAGTCAAAAGTCAATTGAGCTTTGGTGTTGGTTAATAATATAGTAGTTAAGTAGCCTAGTTAGTATTTTCCTCATTTAATATTCGTATTATAAACGTAAGTACATATTTTTTAATAATACTTTCGTTTTCAATACACGTCTTAAAGACTAAAAAGCAAACGTCTTCAATAATACTTCCGTACACATCTTCAATAATACTTACGTTTTACGTACACGTCTTAAATACAAGTTTTTTAAAAAGCAAATGTACAATACACAAATTATACATATACATACGTATTTTTCACGTTTAATACACGTGTTTTTAACACAATTTTGAATAATATAGACAAAATTCACATATTATACCCGTATTTTTCACATATTATTGAATAAAAATAATATATATTAAATAAATTATATTAAAATATTATATACTGGCCGAACTTTTCGGTTGTAACTTACCAAAAAAATTTGCTTAATAAAACACGTACGTACTTTTTACTAACTAAGTTAAGTAGTTTGTTAGATTAGTTTAGATTATGCCTTCACTACTAGAAAAGTGGACAAAAAGCACAATCCAAAGGCCAAAAAAAGAGGGTTGTGCTCTTTTGAATCACATTGGACACAAATATTATATTTGTGTCATATGCAGAAAAGGCACAAATGTTTCGTGTCCAACTTGAACAAAAGAAGTAAATAATTGTGCTCAAGTGAATTTAGGCACAACTTTCATGCCCGGTTCCTTTCTTCTCTCACACTTCTGGAGTTAAATCATCTCAGCATCAGCTTTGCTCTCAAATTGCTTTCAACTTCGAGCTTGTGTTCCTCAAGTTTGCGGTATTTTATATACAATTTATTAAAGCATATTAGTTGATTTTCCTTTGGTATATTGATCTTTGTTTAAATATCTGCTTTCAACTTGTGCTTGTGTTGTTTGAATTTCCTTGTTAATTAGAAAATTTAAAATGGACTCTACTCAAAGTCAACCTATTGAGATCCCTGTTGTTGCTGACCCCTCTCAAGCTATTCCCTCTAGTAAAAAACATAAACAAACTTCTGATGCATGGTTACATTTTAAGAAAATTGAAACTGAAAAAGATGGTAAAAAAGAAATAAAAGCCGAATGCAATTATTGTAAAAAGTTATTATCTTGTGCATCCATAGGTGGTACTAGTCACTTAAAAAGACATAAAGATTCATGTATCAAAAGAACAAACTTGGATATTAGGAAAATGCAGTTAAATGTACAACTTTCTGGAAAAGTAGGCACCTACATCATCTACATCTTGCACTTCAACATTTAGTAGAAAGAGAAGTCGTGTGGATGACCTTTGTGATTCTAAAAGGTTAAACACAAGCAATTTTTCATCTAATGAATTATCACGCTATCTTGATTCACACACAGAAATGGATGATGATGAAAATAATCCTTTAAATATTTTGGTATGGTGGAAATCACAGCAAAAAAATTACCCTGTGCTTTCCACCATAGCCCGTGATATTTTAACCATTCCAGTGTCTTCAGTTGCTTCTGAATCAGCTTTTAGCAAAGGTGGACGTGTTATAAGTGACCATCGAGCAAGTTTGGCTCCAAATAGTGTTGAAGCGTGCATTTGTGGAAGTGATTGGATTAAACAAGAAAAAAAGAAAGTCAAGAAGAAAATGATTGTACAAGATGAACAAGAATTGCCGGAGTGGTTTGTCCAAGATGTAGAATAAATATTCTCATTTTTATTGTTTTGTAGTCAACTTCAGTTTTGTAGTCTATTTCAATTTTCAATGTATTGTTGTTATTATATAATTATGGATGAAGTTTTCAAACATAGAAAATAAATGGAGTTTAATAAAGCATAAAATAATGGCCCATTTTATAGGGCTAAATAGGCCCGACTCATTGGCCCGATCATAAGCCCGAAAATGTTAGGCCCATGGGCAGGCCCTGGACTTTGTATATTTGACATAGGGCTAGCCCGGCCCAACCCAATCACTCCTTAGGACTGAAAATGCCCGTTACTAATTAGGGCATGGGCTCACACCTCTTAGGGCCAGGCTGGCCCGGCCCGGCCTATTTTCCAGGCCTAGTCCAAACCATGCACTGATATTTACTAACACCTTACCCATTTAAGTCCAATATTTCCGGTGGTGTTATACCCAATACACCTCTAGATGTGAGGTTTTAACTTAAAAGACATCATTGCAATTAGTAGTGGACAACCTACATCAACATAACTCTACACTTTAGAGTTCGATTCTAAGAGCATCTTCAATAGCCTCTTCAAACACTTTGGGATACTCAAATAGGTGAGCCACATCATAAAAAATCTCTCCAACTGCCTTATCAAACTCAGTCATCAAAGCTACAACTTCTTTCTCTCTCTTCAAGACTGGTAAGTTGACTTTGGCTCTTCAAGACATTTAATTTAATTTTGAAAAAGCAAAACCTACCTTTAAAATGTTAAAAACATGCATTTTATATTTTTATATAATAATTACATAGACATTTTTCACATATTTTGATTCATTTTCATAACATTGCATTAATTGAATTGAAGAGTCTGTTGAAGCAAAAATTATTCAAGTAGCAAATAAATCTTTTCAAATTGTCACATAAGTCAACCAACTTTAATTTGAAAGTTCATAAAAACATTCTCAGAACTTGTGCTATAGAGTACAGTTGGAGGATTTTATTACTTCATAATGGAGTAATAATGAATGGAGGTCCTTGAACCTTTTTCAAAGTCCTCATTTGGTTTCTTAAACTCTCAAATTCATTAATGTGACCCTTATCTTTTGTTCTAAGCACTAATGTGTTCCATATTGTCGCATTCCATTAAATTTTTGGTTAAAATTGGTCACGTAAACAACTTTAAAGGGTATATTTATCCGAATATAGCTCATCCACAAAGGAGACAAAATAAAATTCATATTGCTTGCTCAATAAGGCATCTACTCTCCATTTTGGATTTAATCCTAGAATTCCATCAAGGAGATGATTGAGCATAATACATGATATTTATGTTTTCTTTTGGGTGGATATGTTGTATTTTGATGGAAAACACCTTTTAGAGTTGGTTGTGTGTCATTAAGTGACCAATTTTTTGACAAATGTGTTGATGGAATGTGACGAGATGTGCCAAATTGATGGGTGGACCAAAAGATTAAGGATCACATTGGTATTGTAATGATTCCAATTCTTCATTCTCCTATGTTTACTAATACATGGGTCTTGGAATGATTCCAATTTCTAATTTCTCATGCATTCATTAACACAAAAAATCTTCTGGACAATAAAAATCCAGATAAAACCATATATAACCACCAAGTCTCTCTAGCTAAGATGGAATTGTATAAATTATGTATTGATATTTTCACGTACTTCGTATTTGGTTTTAAATAAATTATGTTTGACAAATTACCTTATTTAAAAAATATATATAAGCAGTGAGTTTTTTTTATTACATCAAATTCTACTTCAAAGCATTCTTTACCTTTTTGTTTTTTTAAACCACAATGTTATTTGTCATTATCCATATAAAATAGGGTGCTTCATCATGGACCAATCACTGTATTGGATACATTTGACATTTTTGTGGCCTATAGAGAGCACGAAATTAGGTTTTTGTGGCCTAGAGAGAACACGAATATTGGATTTTCGTGGCATATAGAGAGCACAAATAGTGGATGTTTGTGGCCTATAGAGAACACGAATACTGGATTTTTGTGTCTCAATATTAGACACTCATTTCAAAGTCTCAAGACTTACATAGCGCACAAATACTGATTTTCCATGCCTTTGTACTGCATACTTTCCAAAGTATGTTAACCTATAGAGCACAAATGTACTGAAAGTGTGTCTTTATCTTGCCTAATAGAGCACACATACTGAAATCGTGTTTTTAGGTTGCCTATAGAGTACGAATAGGAAACATTGTGTCTCTTACATTTCCATAAATCATCCTTCATATGTCTGATATAGGATGTCACATTGGGTAAAAAAAAGAAAAAATATATATAGGCCACGTTGGTATCATTCGTGCCTAAACAATTTTTATTACAGGCATGAATCCAAATTTGTGCCTTTTATATTGTCTATATAAAATGTTCACACGCACACCATTTCCATTTCAAATAACTCTATTTCTGTTCTGGCATAGTGTTTTTATCCGTCACACAAAATGGGGGATCATCGTACCCGTCCTGTTAGAATAGGAACTCAATCCCCAGCTGCTAGTGAGTCATCACATAACCCAACCACTTCAACTATTTCAACACAAATTTCTTCAACAAACCATCGTGCTTGACCTATGGGCCCTTGTCTTAATGCTTTGCGGTTACCTGGTGGAAACATACGTACACATGAATGACTAACAACCAATAATGATAGATGTCGCACAAATACTCTACCACCAGTTGAAGATGTGGCACTTGAAACTCATAGGCGGGTGTTGGATAAGCCTCACAACGTTGGGTGGGTATGGTCCCCACACTACACTTTTTTTCAATTTGAACAAGGATTGTTCCATCCCAAAACTCTTTCTCGCAATCACTCTATAAAAGAGAGGAGACAACTGGGAGGTTGGAGAGGAAAAACCTGAAAAGCCACAAAGGTAGAGAAGGACAGTCGTGCGGTTGCAGAGGAAAAATGAGGATCAACACCTCTACTCCCT